GTTCAGATGACCTAGGTTTGTTCAGGTCCTGGCTCTGACGTTTATTTCCTAGCCACATGACTCTGAGCCAGTTACTAAAACTCACCAAGCGTCAGTTTCTTCATGGGTAAAATGGGAAAAAAATTGTTTTGCTCCACAGAATTGCAAGGATTCAATGGGATAATGCCTCGGAGTTGGTACATAATAAAACCTTTTAGATGTCAGCTGCTGTGACAATTATCATTTAGTGAGTCCCTCCATTGGCCAGGAGCTTTACATATGTTAGGTCTGTTAAATCCTCACAAAAACCCTTTGAAGTAAATATTATTTCTAGTTTTTAGGTGGAAAAAAGAAAAGAAAGAAAAGAAGGAAGGAAGGAAGGAAGGAAGGAAGGAAGGAAGGAAGGAAGGAAGGAAGGAAGGAAGGAAGAAACTCACAGAGGTGAGTTGCCCAAGGATGTAGTTAGCAACTGTTGGGGCTGGAACTGGAATCTGTGTTTACCTGACTTCTCTATCATGTCCATATTTCTGGCAATTTAAAGAATGTGATTACTACAGATATTCTTAATGTTCAGTTGTTTAGAAATAAGAACAAACGAAAAACTTAAGAAGGAAGGGCACTCTAGCTCTTGGTAAAATTTTAATCAACTCTTACATTTCTCTAATGTTTATAGGCTTCCAAATGCTTTAATATATGTTATCTCATTTGTTTCACGTAACCACCCTGAGGCAGGAAAGGGAGATATCATTTCAAGGGTGGAATGAAGGCTATGTGAAGTGACTTGTTCAAGCTTACAGGTTGCTAACTAAAGGTAAGAGCATGCTTATTTTATAATACTTGAAAAATCTAAGCAGTCAGTGACTGGGAAAGATATTTTTATTTTAAAATTAATTTGTTAGTTACATTTTATAATTAGATTTGAATTTTTCTAGAGCTGTCAACTTGATATCTTGAGAAACACACGCCTGATCTACCAATTAACCCAGACAAAGGTTAAAGATGTCTGAGATGTGATCTTTTCATCAACCTCAAAATTTGTCCATAGACGGTATAGAGGCCTGACCGCCGCACTGTATATCTGAAGCTATTGTTGAATAATATTGTATGTCAACTATAATTTTATATACATATAGCCACAGGATGTGAAGTATAGTGTGGGAATAAAGTCAATGGGATTGTAATAGATATGTATGATATCGGGGGGGGGGCATGTATGGAGGGAGGGGGGTTGTCACTTTGTGAGGAGTGAAAAGGATAACTATTGCATTGTTTTCTATACCTGAAACTAATAATAATAAAAAAAAAATTTGTCCAAAAGCTCACCTGCTTTCTAAAGCTCCAACAACTAAAGCAATCAAGTAGCAGGGGATCGGGACCTAAAGGGGGCAAACAATACACATCACATGCTCAAATTAGTGTTTGAAAATGTTACAGAGTAATTAAATGTGCATTTAAAAGTAAATGAATTCCCTTTCAAATCTCCAGACATCAGCATGAATTACTTTCTTTTTGTACTTCTCAAATAGTTCTCATATTTAAGGGCTCAGTTCAAAATTGTAATGTAAAATATTTCAAAACATCTATTTCCCTTTTATTCCATTAGGAAGGAAAGCTTCTGAAATATGAAAGTCATGATTGCACATAATATTACAAGGTACATTTTCAGCATTTCTCAAAAATTAACCTATAATAAGGCAACTGTGCTTTTCTTGCTTTTCTCTTAGGTTTTTTGTTTTTCTCTCTTGATTTCAAAACAAATTTTTTAGTTCCTTTTTTTAAAACCATTCCTGGTATATTTGAAAGGCATATAAAATAATCCAGCAATAAGAGGGTACTGAAGGTTTGGGAGCTTGGAATCTCAAGCTGGGGTGGAAGCAAAATTGTCCACTGTG